TTGAGGCGTACGATTCGATCGAGGAGATCGCGCAACTGCTGCAACAGTTCGGCCTTAGGGCAGACGATATTTAGTATCCGCAGATTGAATTTACCAGCCGACGAGACGGTCCTCGTAAATTCGTTGAATTTGTAGAACTGCATTCGAGTGGTGAAGTACAGATTGCCGTCGACGTAGCGGAAGATCGACGTCACGCCGGTCGGTATTCCGGGAAACGTCGCCTCGAGAGGCGTAAATTTGGCGACTCTTTTGTCCTTGTCGCATTCGTCTATCTCGCCCACCGAGTTACCGTTGAACACCACGAAGGAACGTCCTCTGTGGGTGTTCACCACTCCGTTTATTATCGTTTTTTCGGGAAATCCGAGTTCTTGCAAGGTCTTCGGCCAACCTGGCCGCAGACTAAATTTCGGATATTGAACCAAGTATACCAAATTATCTACGAACACCACGAGATCGCCGGACGAGGATTGATAGGCGGCGGTCACGCGCGTGAATTGTCGTGAAAAAAGCTCATGTGATGCGAAAGGACTAAAGGCCCGTTGTACGTTCTACCGTCCAGATCGATCGACTAAACGTAACGCTTGTACGATATATACATGCGCCTTTCCAAAATCAATATCCCGTTCACGCGATCGAGGCTGCACAGGTCCGGCATTGGAGGCGCCGGCGCCGGCGCCGGCGTCTGCGGGGGCTTGTTTGTAATTTTTTCACCGTACAAACGTTGAATGTCGGCAATGTCGTTTTGGTCGAGCTTGTCCGGATACTGCTTGTCGGGCGTGAACGCGAACATCACCGATGTTTTGCGTCTATTGTGCAACAATCCGAGAGTGACCGATCTCGTGCGTCAGCGTGTAATGCAGGGAGAACCTATCTGCGGGGTGTTTATTGATGTAAATGTGCCACGGCTCGTCCCCGTCGACGTGCACCTCGGAGACGAACCCCGCTTCGTCCGTCGGGAGAGACGTGTGGGCGAGCACGTTACCGGGACCGTCGAAGTTGTCCGAGCAAATTGGTCCGTTTACCTTGGTATTCGTGTTATAGTGACTTAGGCGTTGCCAAGATATTATAATCGGGATTCGTTTCAGAGCGTTCGAACGTTAATGCCGAATGCTGCGACCACAGGTCGAACGCGGCCCGCGCCGTGCTCAGCTCGGCCTCGTCGGCTACGTAAAAATTCCACGTCAGGTGCATCTTCGGCCATTTGGATAGACTCGCTTTTGTTCCGTGGTTCAGGATATCTCGGAAACCGCATCGCGGCTTACTCATCAATTGCAGCGTTTTGTTGTTAGGCGTTCCATCGCTGGGTAAATCGTAATAATTCTGAAAATCTTCGAAGGCTTTGCGAAGAACGTCGTTTTGTCTCTGAGCTGGAACCGCGTCCACATCTTTGAACAGATATCCGTATTTCTGTAGGTAATTGAACGTGAGCGCGTAATTTTGGTCCGTAATTTTGGGATTGATGCACCTCACGGCGATAAAACACGCGGTTAACGCGATTACGCGCGCGAGCCATATCGTCGAGAGCGAGAGACGGCGGAACTGCGATGACGGCGCGTTGCGGTTTGAGCGCGATCTCGATGAGCATTTCGGATGCGAACGTTTACGCGAGGACGCTCGTTAGCGATAACGCGGATAGGTGGCGGCGGGGGTCTCGGGTGGGAAAAAAATGCGTCGAAGATTCCGGCGGATGAGTCGGTTTGATAAAATGCATCTATCCTCGATGTATTTTTTCCCGGATGTAAAAAAACGCTATTTTTATTACATTTTTTACCGCAATATCCTCCCTTTGTCGCGTTTTCTCGGCGCGGATAGGTGCGGCGGCAGGGTCTCGGGTGGGAAAACGCGTCGATTCCGGCGGATGAGTCGGTTTGATAAAATGCATTATTTTCCTCGATGCTATTCTTAGTATATTTTTTTTTACATTTTTTTTACTATATATAAGAACTCGAGACTAGACTTAGGTGTAGTCTATTCGCACTCTTCCAGCGAACTCTTGAGTAAATCAAATTTAATAAGACGATGGAGGAACTTAATAACTTAAAGAGTGTGTGTGATTTATTACAAATGCACACCACAGTCCTGATGAGGGAGGTGGAAGATTATTGTAACACGGTGCGGCAGTTGCAGCTGCGTGTGAGGAGTATAACTGAAAAAGTGCCCCCTGTCTGCAACTCACCGTTCGCGTGGACGAGGACGCCGTAATGCTGGAAAGAACGTATCACTTTCAAATGCGAAATTATTTCTTATAATATAATTAAATAATAAATTTTATATATTTATTTATATTTATATATTATTTACATTTATTTATATTTTATATTTACATTGTAACGATGCGCCTTTTCCAAGGCATCGTGCCCAATCGCCACCCGCCGGATGCCACCCGACCGATTCTTTAAACGCAAAACGCGGCACCTTTCAAATATGGCATGTCGGTATTACACGCCCGAATTTGCTCATTTGAATGCACATTGCGTACAATTTGTCATTTAAATCCTGGAATGTCAAGTCTGACGAAAATAAAGAAAAGAAAAAGAATGAAAAAAAAAAGGATTCAAAGAGAATTTAGAGATAAAATGGGACTCAACGTTGAGATTGTGAGGCAAGGAGCAGGCACGAGTAATGACGGCAATACAGCTCGCAAATTTTTCGAAAATCTAACGATGACGGCAGAAATTACACGATTAGACGAAAATCTAATTAAAAGATTTGCTGTAATATTGCAAGCAATGACATCTGGCTGTAATATAAATGTAATAAAATTTGCTCAATACACTGCAGATACAGCAGTAGGTAAGCTACGGGCGTTCTAACTAGGGAGCAATAAGGGGGGGGCAAGGGGGAACCGAAGGCGGGGGGCGAAACCGCGGGGGAACGGAAGGGGGAACCGCGTTTTTCGGGCGCCGCGGGGGGGGGGGGGGGGGG